TAAACGGTCAATAAACGGCCAGTAAATGGTAAGAGAACGTTTACAAAACGATCCGTAAACGGTGAAAAAACGATCCATTTAAGACCCTAAAACTTTACGAGTTTTAGGTTCTGAAAACGGTCCGTTTAGGAACTAAAAACGGTCCGTTTGCGGCACGTTAATTGGCCGTTAACTGCTAGTTAACTGGCCGTTAACGGTGCCGTTTTCTTGGACCTGGGTATATATATACATCAGTGACCGCCTTCGCAGCGGTTCATTTTTTCTTGTCTTAAAGGGATAAAGGATAAAACTGCACAGAAAATCGATTATAGAATAAAGTGAGCCGTGCTTCCTGCCTTTGATATTATGCTCTACTGTATCTTAGTGCAAAACTGTGCTTTTGTCGTTTATCCGGTTCGATTTCTGTTTCAACATGTTTATTAGTCCTTTTGTATTTCTGTTTACCACGAGGTAGGTTCTAATACTCTCATGCCGCTTCTTTTACTTCTTGATATTGTTGTTCATCTAGTAACAGCTGTTATCAGAGCTGATCAGCTGCGTTGTAAACTGCCTGCAAGCTGCAGGCAGGTTGCAGTTTGCAGGTGAATGAAAAAATTTTCCACTAAAGAAGAATATAAGCAGATAAAGAAGAATATTTTCCTGCCTGCACTCCCTGCAGGGCAGAAGATTTTACCTGCATTCACTGCAGGGAAAGACGTTTGTGTGGAGAACAAAAAGAGAGATGAGACCAAGAGAAATATTGATCACACTGAAGGTCAGAATGATCTCTTAACTAAAAGAAACTAACTAAGAGTTATTTTATATGTATACTGGACCTTTTAAGATGAAGCAGAGAAACGTTTTATCCATAATCGCTTATATCATTTGATATGTGATTTTCCTCTGATATAATGGCCTAGACCGTATCTGTGTAGAATTCTTATTTCTCTTTCTTAAATGAACGACGAATAACATCGAGTCATTGCACAACTTCAATCATTGTGCAGAATATAGGAAAGAACAGCGAAGTTGATTTTTGCAGTTCGTCTGCAAAGATCAAGTTCGTGTGTTCGATTCTAGCTTCGTGCAAGGATTGATTTTGTGTTTTGATAGTTTAAGTTTCAGAATGATATAATGGGAATTTATATTCTCGATTTCGTTCTGGTTCAAGATTAAAGCTTAAACCAATAAAGTTTAAACTAAACTAAACGAAAAATATAGAATAAAGAAAAACAATGAATTTTTTTTTTAACATTGAATCAATTTTATTGTTCCATAAGGTTAACAATATCTCCTCTCCATATCAAAAATAAAAATGTGTAAACAAACATTGTTTGAAAAAGAATAAGAAAAACATATGTATACACTATACACAGAAAGATAGATAAGAATTTACTTCACAATTCTTCAGCAGAAACACCTAGGCTTTTCTACAGTTTACTATAAAAAAGATACAAAATAGTCAATAAGAAAAAAAAAACATAAAATCTTTATGGGGGCAAGTCGAAATATTTTTTAATAAACAAGTGAATTTGTGACGTATCTTTTGAGAAGAAAGCAAACTGGTTGATCTAGACATCAACAAATCTGAGAAAGTCGATTTTGCTATGTCGAGCTCTTTTTGAGAGTCTAGTAAGAAAAAAACTGTTTTTTCTAAATCCCATTGATCTATACCACATCCTGTCAGGAGATTTAGCACTCAAGTACGATGAAAACGTCTGCTGGTAAGATGTTGCTTCAGCCGACTCATTTAGATGTTTATTAAACCTTAACCAATATTTTAAAAGATAATCGCGCAGTGTTAATTCTCTACTTAAAATTAATGTTGTTACATCATCCCATTCCCACAACGAATATACCATACGCAAACCAGAACAAAAAACATGCTCAATTTGTTCTTTTTTACTGAAAATCAAAAAGAGCAAATTGAGCATGTTTTTTGTTCTGGTTTGCGTATGGTATATTCGTTNAAAACATGCTCAATTTGCTCTTTTTGATTTTCAGTAAAAAAAGAACCACGTGCAAAAAAGTAAAGTAAAGTGAGGAAGAGAATATGCTAGAGATAATTTTCGACGGATTGCTATTTGGTTTTTCGGAATGTCCTTGAAAATAAATCTCAGTGCATTGTATGTATTTCTCACATTCTTTAGCCGTTCGCTAATGTACTTTCCCCACCCTAGCTTGGTTGAAATAATTACTCCCAGAAATTTGTTTGAATTAACGTACGTAATTTTTTGACCATGGTAAGAAATTTCCGGTTGACCCGGTGATACCGCACTATGAACAATCATCGCTTTTGTTTTTGGTACGTTCACCGGTAGCAGATTGTCATCGGAAAAATTTTCAAGACATTTCATGATAATTTTAGCCTGAATTTCTAATTCAAACATATTTTCAGAGAGTTTCCTTTCTAATGATCTAAGCCACACCAGAGTTAAGTCATCAGCGAACAAATGAATAATTAACTGCATAAAATATCTGGGGAGAAAATGAACATGTAATCGAAAAGAGTTGCTGCTAAAATAGATCCTTGAGGAGCTCCTACAAACGTTTCAATTATCCTTGACACAGCTTCACCATGATGTATTGAAAAAGTTCTTCCCTGAAGCCAAGAAAAGATCCATTTTAAAAGATCAAGAGGCATTTCGAGCTCCTGTAGATTGGCAATAAGTGTAGGATACCACATACGATCAAACGCAGAGAGAAAATCAACAAATATTACCAGTGCAGGACGATTACATGCAGTGACAGTTAGCCTAAGTTCTTCGCATATCGATAATATCCGAGTTTGAAGGCGTCTTTCCGGAGTGAAACCAGACTGCTCGTCAACGCATATATTATTTTCTTTGCACCATTTTAAAATTCTCTGATGAATTATTCGTGCAAACCATTTACCTAAATTCGGCAGCAAAGAAATCGGGCGAAGTCTGCTCTCCTCCGGATACGGCCCATCTTTAGACAAGCATATCACTTTTGCATGCTTGCTACTTTCAAAAAATTTCCCTTTTCTTGCACATCTATTGAACAAAATTGTTATTGTTCCCATATATTCAACTGGCAATTGCTTTATAAGAAAAGCAGATGTATTTAAGCTATCTATTGATTTTTTCGGCTTAAATTTTTTCCACTGCAGCACAACCTCATCCATTTTTATCTCCTCCAGAGGAATACTAGGAATATATTTCATTTGTTCATAAATGAGCCTACATTTTTCTCGTATCATCCACGTTCCCATACACTGGTCAGTCCCACGTAATTTAACCTTACATTTTTGACCCTACCTGTCCAATTTTTCAAGGGTATTTGAATTCCATTCCTCTAAGGTCATCATAGTCTTTTTTTCTTCTTTCTCTTTCTCTTCTCATCAACTATGTATCCCATAATTTCTCACTTTATTGTTCACTCATCGTCATTCTCTTTCAATCGCTCTCTGGTCAATATCTACGCTATTTTACCAACCCTTCATCTCACATCATGCCATTTTCACCTTCTTCCACGTCATCAGTACCTACATCCACTTTCGCTTCTCCACCTTCAGTTAGAGCTCCAGCACCCTCCGACAACGTCGACGAACTTTTATTTACTGTTTCGTTTCTTGCTACCATCACGGCACACCTCGTTTAATCCGTTCTGCGCCTACAACAAGGCGTTACCGACACATATTTAGCACCACCGTTTTCCCTGAACCAGTATTCATCGTCACGCATTCAACGGTCACGCGATCTTCTCCTAGACCTCACAGTCGATTGCATGGCGGTTCACCACCGCATCCTCCATCTTCTTCATCTTCATGTGACGATTCGCCTGAAAAAAAAATCTTTTTCTGATTTTATCCATTTTATATTAACATGATATAAGTTGATCTATAGTTTTCAAGTTTCTATTTTTGGTAAAAAGAAAGCTTACTACACACAAGAGTGTTATATTTTCTTTTGACAGCGTTAAAAGAACGACCAAAAATCAGAACTAAAATCCATTATACGAATGACATAATTGAAAACATGAATCAAACGATTACCGACACAAACGGATTGACTCGATGTTGTATCGCTAAATCTCAACAATAAATATTACCAGATCGCAAAAAGTATACAAGGTCCTTCCTTTTACACTTTCGCCAGTATCTTTCAAGAAACTATGTCTAAACTAACTACTAAAGTAGCGCAAATGAAGATTCTAAAAGACTAATAGTCTTAAAATCCATTCACACGTACTGAATTACAAGAGTTTAAAGTTGGCAAATTTTCAAGATGGCGAAATCCAAGTTTTTTGGAACTTTCCATGAAATTTCAATATCTTAGCAACGATACAACTTTTTGATTCTAGTCTTTTGCCACAATTCATCAAAATGTTTGATTTAAAAGAGTCCCTAGTTTGAAAAATTTTTGAGAACATCGATTGAAGAACGTCGGTTGGGACTTACATGCAATGGCTCTTAATGCACACTACCTTTACGTAATAGACGAGATTAAAAAGATGAGAAACAATATTTTAAAATTTTCACTTATACACAAAATATTTTCTAGTTTGTAAAATTATTAGTTAATCTTAGCATTGAATATTCAAAAAAGTTTGGTCCTGCTAATAAATTTGATTCTTTATGAAATATTACATAGCCACGCTGATGCGAAAATCAGAAACTACGTCAACTGTATTGAGAAAGAAGTGCTTAATTACGTACAACGTTTAGGTAATAAATGAATTGTTTATTCTTAAGTAATCAAATAGTTGATGAGTAATATTAGTCTCTCTTTGATCAATATGAATTTCAAATAATATTTGACGAGGATAGACTTTATTTGTACTATTTGGATTAAACATATGCTCAAAAAGCGAATATTCATCTCCTTCAATATCCATTTTTAAAATATCTAATTCACGTTCTTGATGATTTAACTCTTTCATTAACATGGCAATTGTTTTTGTTCCATAAATTTCCTTTCCAATTAGAGCTTGATGATAAGTACAAATATTTATTGGACATTTATATAAACTGTAATCAAACGTATAAATTTCACAATTAGGTGCCAATAATTTCAAATCTTCTTCAAATGAAAAGTCACCGTCACTATCTGCACTATAAACTAAACATGATTTTTTGTTCTCTAAACGAAATGGGTCACAGACCTAAACGGAGAAAAAAAAACTAGAAAAATTTATCCTCCTTTTTCGTTTTTTTAAGATTATACCCATTTGCCACCATCTCCAATGTTTCCTAATCGACGTTCAAATGTACACTGGAAATTAGATTCCCAATTTGTTACAAAAAAATATAGAATGTTCCATTTTTAGTAAATTACGTTTATTTTGCATATTATAAACTCTTTTTCGTTTATTCCAATCTGTATCAGATTCACAAAAATATTGATCACTTTCATACAATGATAGTTGACAATTAAGAGGGCTGAATGAACGAACAATATCGTATGATACTTTAGAGAAGACACTGGTAATTGATACATCGTAAAACAATTGTAGACTACATAGAAGACCGATAACAATAGCTAGAAGAACTAAAATTCTAGCATATGATATTTGTGACATATTTCATCACCACAGAAAATCACACGTCGAAGATCTGTCTTTTATTTTCTGTGTATGTATATCCACGCAAGAAACTGAAACGAGAAAAAAAATGAGTAAATAGTGCATGTGAAAAGATTGTTATAGTTCTTTTTCATTTTTACACATGATGAGTAAAAGTAAAGTGTTTGAACGAGGTAATATAAGAACTTTTCATTATAATCTGAATTATCCGCACCAGATTCAGGTTATAACAAGCGGAAACTAAAAAGTCGTTTTTGTGGTTGCATGGGGGGTGGGTGGTGAATTGTGGTGACAACAGGAGCGCCCTGGGACCACAAAAACGGCGTTTTTGTTTGCGGGTGTTTTTAACGGGATGGG